CTGAAGGGTGTTAATGGCATCATCCATAATGCAGTCTGGGGAAAATCCTGCAGTCTTTGACAACAACCCTAGCAAGGATGCAATCTTCAGTCTTACAGAGGCATCATTCTCCTGGAAGGAAACACCAAGAAAAAATCCCCAACACAGCAAGGTTAAAGAAAAAAAAGAGAACAGCATATATTACCTACATACATCTACTCATTTAAGAAACAGCAAATGCTGTCACAGGTGATAATTACAGAAGTAAGCCTCATCAGTTAATATTTCTTTAAAATTGATTTCAAAAGTTCATGCATTTTAAAGATTTATTTTAAGGCTTCTACAGACTCATGCACACAAGACTTCTGGTCATATCTGGATGGTCCCTCTTTCATTGTATTGCCAAGGATAACCAATTCAGAGCAGAAAGGCAAAAAGTCATCTGGATGTCATACCTGGATCTTACCAAGCATTTGTGCAACACCGAACAGAGAGGTGCAGAAATATTACAATAACAAATATCCTATCTTTCAACAAGAAATTTTACAGTTACAACTGTTATATCTTTCACGTGTTTAAGAGAGACTTCACTGCCACACACAACCTCCAAGTGACAAATGTGACACCCAAGGGAGCAGTCACTTTCTCAATTCAACTGAGAAGCATTTTTTATCTTAGGCTTGAAGTTACGTGTTTGAACAATGGATAGATACTGTCATTAGGACTGTATGGGGACTGATGACATATAGGGATGAAGAAGGCTACAGGACCATCTTAAACAAAACAACGACACTACAAACAAATAAATCATCACATAACTTCCACTGCAGTTACAGCTTTCACGGTCAGATTTCTGAATGATCAGGAAAAGTGCAAGTGTTATGGAGTACTAAGAAACAAGTTCCTTTAAAAAATTTTGTCTGTAAGTAAAATAATGTCAGCTACGGTAGTTTTGAAAGCAGTATTTTTAAAAGCTGGACTCTGTACCAGGCTCTGCTCTTGCCCCTGTGATCTCATCTGCAGGTTCATGAGTCTCTCTTCTAATACAGGCTACAAAACAAACTTCCAGCAAAAATAATCTGTGTTATTTGACTAGGAACTCTATTTCATGGAATCAGAGAATCATTTATGTTGGAAAAGACCTCTAAAATCATCAAGTCCAACCCTTAACCCAGCACTGACAAGTCTACCACTAAACAATGTCCCCAAATGCCACATCTACACAATACCTTCAGGGATGGTGACTCAACCATTGTCTTGGGCAGCTTGTTGCAGTGCTTGATAATCTTTTCAGTGTGGAAATTTTTCCAGATATCCAATCTAAACTTCCTTGGAGCAGCTTGAGGCCATTTCCTTGTTCTACTGCTTGCTAACTGTAGAAGAGACTGACCCCTGACAGTTTTTTTCATAGATTTGATATTAGGGAAAAATTCTTTACTGAGAGGGTGGTAAGGTACTGGCCCAGAGGAGGCTGCCCAGGGAAACTGCCTCATCCCACAAAGTGTTCAAGGCCAGGCTGGATGGAACTCTGGGCAACCTGGTTTAGCAGAAAGTGTCCCTGCCTTAGCAGTGGGGTCAGAAGTGGATTATCTGTAATGTCCCTTCCAACCCAAACCATTCCATGATTCTGTGATTTTAAAAATGCTGTTTTTTACCTCATAAGCAATAGCTAAAAGGTTTCTCCACTTCTAGAGAAAATTAAGAACAAGGTAAGCACACATCATTCAGGAAAGAGTTAGATAAAGCTGAAACACCTCTGGACAGCCAAGCTCCATGGAGAACTTGACATGTCTTTTGTCCCTTGCCAAGTTAACCTCCACGCAGGCCATGTGCAGGGATAACACTGTCACACCCTTGTCACAGGCTCCTGAAACCACCAGCAAAGGTGCCAAATAACACAGTCAGAAATCACCTGGGTCAAGGGCTACAGCTATTCACTCTCAGCCCAGGCTGTTAGCAACTGAATCAGCAACACAGGAGCCTGTGAGCCCCTGTTCAACATCCCACACCAAGCAAACAGCAGCAAAAGGAGCAAGCATGTTTGGCTCCCAGCTTCACCACCTTGTAATAATGCTCCAGCAGGATCCTGACAACTCCTTCCACGCTCTCCACTTCCACGGGCTTCCTGGCAAACTGGAGCAGGTACTGCAAGGCATCTGCAGGTGAGGTGGCTTTGCACAGGTCCACATGGAGCGCTGCTGACTTGCTGGGCTTGGTCAGCCGCAACTTCTTAGAGGACAGGTCCTCATGCTGCTGCTGTGGGCAAAGGGACACGGCTCAGAAACACAGCCTATCCAGACCCACTCCTTCCCAGACTGAATATGTGGAGGCCTAAGGAAGGTCCCACGTCCCACGGCAGTCACTAGCCTCTCCTTCATCTGTTTCACAAAGAAACACATCCTCAGACCACTGTGGCTGTTACTGTCCTGCCCAAGTAGTCCCTACCCCCCTGAAACATGGCCTCTCCCCACACTAGGCTGGGTCAAATCCTGCTGCTTCCAACACCGAAAAACTAATCCTGGGCAAACACGACTTCTCTGACTCCCACCGGCCTGGAGCAGCCCAAAAACTCACTATAGTTCTTTTCCCAGTCCCGGGCTGGGGGACGCTGCATCTTCCTCGCAGCAGTCCTGGCCCTACTCAGGTTAATAAATCAACACAACGGGTCTGGTTGGAAGGGGCCACAGTGTGTCGTCTCGTCCAGCCTCCCTCTCAAGTAGGGTCATCTCAGAGCACACTGCACAGGACTGCGTCCGGACGGTTCTTGAGTATCTCTAGTGAGGGAGACTCCACAACTTCTCTCCCGCGCCACCCTGAGGGGAACATCTTCCCTCAGACCCCTCCCCTCCGGCAGCTCCATCCTTCTTAAACTCGGGAACGACCCGTCCCGCTCTTCCCCAATCCCGCAGGGACCGCCCCAGCCCCAATGCCCGGCGGGCAGGCGGCGCTCCCAGGCTCGGCTGGCGTGTTTCCCCACAGCTCCGCCTCCCGCCTCACGGAAGAGCCCAGAGCCGTCCATCCTGGCCCGGGGGCGACGTGTTACCTGGACCACTTTGGTGAACTCTTCATACACCCGCTTCTTCAGGTGCGCCGCCATGACGCCGCACCACGACCCGGAAGAGGAGCCATAGAGTTGCCTCAGGGAGGGGCCAGAGGCGCGGCCTCTCTTTCCGCCCCGAGGCCCCACTCGATGGTCCGGCGGCCTCCCGTTGCCATGGGGACGCGGGCCCAACATGGCGGCCGCGGCTCGGTCCGCTGCGCAGCCAGACACACGGGGCCGCAGCGCCTCTGCCCCGCCCTGCTTCCCCACAAAGATTTCACTAGCATTCGATTTTAAGCCGCCTTTCCTACCTATTTCTACTTTTTTAGCAGACAAAGAAATGAATGTTCATTAAAAATGATGTAATTATCTTCATTAATTAGTATTCTGTCACCTACTGTTTATTTATTCTTGCTTTCATGTTAATCAGTCCACATTTCTCAGTCTTTTTGTTATCTTTTTTCCAGGTAGGGAGTTTTGCAGCACATACAATACAGAGTCTTTGACAGTCTCTTGTTACCTTCTGGTTTCTGCAAAATGCCCTTGTAGTCTATAAATTCTGCAAATTTTGTGCCCAGAAATACATCTCTCTCTCTCTCAGGTTTTGTTCATCAAAGCATATCAGGGTTAGTTTAGCAAAACTGAAAGTTTCAGTGATTTTCCCAATCTAACAATAACAGTTTGTGTAAAGAAACTTGTCTGCATGCTGGCTAAAAGTGACTTAAGACTAATACAGTGCTAATGAATAATATACTGCTTATGATTCATTAACTCAGTTAATTAAAAATAATTAGAAAATTTATTTCCATCAGAATTATACAATCACTAAAGTCAGAAAAAATTTCTAGGATCATTGAGTTCAACCATTAACCCAGCACTGCCAAGCCCACCACTAAACTCCATCCCCGAGTGCCACATCCACACATTTTTGAGAACTTCCAGGGATGGTGACTTGACCAATTCCTTGGACAGCCTGCTCCAATGTCTGACCACCCTTTCAGTGAATAAATTTTTCCTGATTATTTTCCTGGCACAACTTGAGGCCATTTCTCTTGTCCTGTCACTCACCCGGCTACACTCTCCTTCCAGGCAGTTGTAGAGAGCAATAAGGCCCTCCCTGAGCCTCCTTTTCTCCAGGCTAAACACCCCCAGCTCCCTCAGCCACTTCTCATCAGACTCGTGCTCCAGACCCTTCCCCAGCTCCACTGCCCTTCTCTGGACACACTCCAGCACCTCAATGTCCTTCTTGGAGTGAGGGGCCCCAAACTGAACACAGGATTAAAGCGTGTGTCAAACTTTCTCATGGCAGCAGCCCTATAGACTTAGCAGGTTGGTTGATGTGAGGCTTTAACTATTCTATACTGAGGTTGTTTTCTCCTAATATCTAATTTTCATCTCTGTTGTTGTGACTTACTCCAGCTTCCCCAGCCTTAGTATGTACAAAGTGTAATAGATCTCTTTAAAGCAACATTTGTCTGTTGGGAGGCCTCCTCAATCTCTCTTCTTCCAGGCTGAGCACCACCAGCCACTTTGTTATGATCAAAAGAGCCTATTTCCTAAACCTTTTTTTCCTTTCAGACACTGACTGTGTCCATTCTTACCAAGGTTATGCATGTGGGACATCTCAGAGTCCCTTCACACCCACAGCAGAACTGCCCTGCAGTTGTTGGAGTGACGACTGTCACTGGTGAAGGTCCATGCTGAAACATCTGAAACACAGCTTCATTAGGAGTGATTCAAATCTGTTACCCTAAAGACAAAACTTCAGGTCTTTAGAATTTGGGGATCTAGAGGGGAAAATGGCAGTAAATAAAGCACTTCTGCATCATTCAAAAAAATTTTAAAAGTTATTTATTTGAAATCCCAAGGACCATTCTATGGTTCTATGGTTATTGTCCTTGACTGGAAGAAATCCATCTTCTGAGAAGTAAAGGAAATATGATCTTTATCAAATCAGCCATTATGATTCTCAGAATGATTAAACCCGAGCCATCTCCAGTATAAAAATAAACTTTCAAATTCTAAGATTTTTTTAAAACACATTGTAGAATGCAACTTGTGTTCTGTAAAAGAGAATTTGCAGACTGTTGCTTTAGTACCACTTCCTTCCCACCAAATCATGGCAGGTTTTCCCAATTCTTCTAGGCGCTTATGCAGTTAGAAATAGCAACATCATAATAACAAGTGCCATAAGAAAGAGATTAAGATCATGTGGTCTGAAAGAGGAGTGTGTGTCCTTAGATTATAAACTCCTCACATCTGTGATGGTATTTTGGCCTTTTGTTGATCCTGGACTGTAGCTGAGGTTCTCTGTCTTCAGAACAAATAATAAATAATAGTAATAAATACATTGACTAGAGAGTAGGCTGTCTACTGGAGGAATAAGAAGAGATCATAGGACACTGAATCCTTCCTTTTTAACCCAGATTCTAGTGTAGAAAGGAGGGAGAAGAATAGCTTTTGCCTTCCCATCAAGAAACTGAATTTAATTTGAGTATGTGGTAATGTCACTGTTTCAGCCAGGATTTGCATGTATGTGGCCTATTCCCATTTGCACTAAGAGAGCAACTCGACATGTCCATGAAACATATTTGGGATTATTCATTTCCCTTAGGTTGAGTGAAGTTGGCTCAATCCACAGATCCATCTCTTTGAACTGAATGAATAGTAAGCAACACTGAGGAGTAAAATTCTTCCTTTTTCTGGAGCCTTTTAAATCCCCTAAAGCCCAAGTAAAGTGGCTGTTAAGTGCTCTTTGATATGGCAGATAGCCAAAGGAGATCCTTTCCTTGGCCTGTGCTTTTCTTCCTGTCCCTCTGGTAACCCACAGCTTAGTCTCCACAGTCCAGGTTAATTTGTTCCAGTAATTGCTTTCTAATGTTCCCTGTCAATGGTGGCACTTTGCTACCACCAGGTGAACAGGAACTTATAGAAGAAGTCGTGCGATTTGAAACGAAAACCTTTTTCAGCAACATGGGGCTGAAAAGATATTTTATACCCTTTGGCTTCTATATCCATTTGAATGCAGTCCAGCAGATCAGAAATACTTGGCACAGCCTTCCAGGGGCCAAACTTCACCACAGATTTTTTATCCATGTCCAAACTGTTCAAGGCATCCTGACACCTGGCGGCATCCTCCTCAGTTCTGACCACACATACGATGACGCCGGACTGTCGGGATGCAACTGCTTCTGCCCTCGCGATGCGGATCATCAGCTCGATGTTCTCGCTGTAGTTGGGCACACGAGCCAGAAACTGCCTCCTCGCCACGAGCTCCCCAAAGATCTGTGGGGAGTCCTCAAGCTGCTTGATCAAAGGCTCTATGTCATAGAACAATGCCTCCTTGTAGACATCTTGGATGCACTGGGTGGGCACTTGATTACTGCGCAGGTACTCCAAGATGTATTTGAAGTAGGTGCCTGGCCTGTCAATGAAGAACCTCCCCTCAGAGTCAGTCCTGAGTTTGGGCTGGCCAGTGAACATCTCTGCCAGCTTGGAGCCAGGGTGTTTCTTCAAGGTGCTCAGCGTTGTTGTGTACATCTCCCCACCAACATTTAACTCCACAATTGGTGACAACTTAAAAAAAAAAAAAAAAGTGACAAAAAGCCATGCACATTATCAGTCTGAGGTCACCAACATGGAAGTGTCAAGGAAAAGCCAGATGATTGTAGATGGAGTATGGAATGATGGCGTGAAGTATGAGCTCCCATTTTGTGGGCATCAGATGGGAACCTCCACCTGATTTATTGCAAAAAAGCAGATGAAGGATGCTTATACAGTTCTCGCAAGCACAGCAGCAGAGACTTGGACATTTCTAAATGGCTAAGTCATCACCTCATTTCTGGGATGTAGAAAAGTGTCATTTTCCCAGTGGGAAAGAGGGAAAAGAAGTACCCTTCCCTACTCACAGGGAAACAGTGAGTGACTACAGGTTCCAACACTGATCTCCTAAGTCGCTCACAAGCATTGTCCCTGTGGGCCACCTACAGCAAGAGCAGTACGTGAGCTCTCACCCATCCCATGTGCAGAGGGACAAAGATAGAGCCCAAAGCTGTGCCAATCCATTTTCATCACCTTAACTGTTCTTTTCTCTTCAAATGAGAAACTAAAGCTCTTTAAGCTTTATAAATAGGTAGAATTGGCTTCCACTCGTCTGGGGGTTCAGCTACAAACACTGAAGTAAGACACAAAAATCCATCAAGTCAGAAGTGCAGGACAGAAGCTGTTTAGCAAAGCACCTAGAAATGTATGATGGCTTTAGTTAGGAAGTAAAGGAAATATTTCATGCAACTGACATGGACTTAAGAGGGGAAAATGTAAAGATTGTGGGCTTATTAGCATTTTTTTAACCCTCTGTATTAACACCATTATCTGAATTGGAGGAGGCCTGAATATCTGGAAAGCTGGACTTTTTAAATTTACCTTCCTGTATGTTTAATTCTGAAAAATTTTACTAGCTTCCCTTTGCACTTGGTCATTTTATGTAGTGCTCAGCAGATGAACAGAAAAGGGAAGAAAGAAGACAGTTCTTTTCCCTCCTGCCAGCACTACTGTAATGCAAGCGACAAGCTAGGCCAGGGCCACGCCTGCCATTGGGAAGATGTGAATCAATACCAACCCTATTTTCCAGGAGCTCACCTGCACTTTATTGGATCTGATCCAGAAAGGAGCTGCCTCAATGCTGCTGGTCACATGTCTCAGGTGAAGTGTGTACTTAAGTGCTTAGCTGGATCACATGGGTACAGACCCATGGGATGACGTGAGCTGATGCTGCAGTGCACACCAAGAGAAGGGGGGGGGGCTCCCGTGCCCGCTCCCTGTTCTTGTACCTACCTATGTGATCTCTTGCTCACCTCATGCCAGCTCTGCTTCTCTTTCATCTTAGTGAGCTGGCTTGGCTGACAGAGGATTTAACAAGCACAGAGCTGACAAAAGGATGAGACTAGGAACAGACAGCCTGGTGCAGGGAGAGACCTTCCCTTTAAGCAGGAGCAAACTATCAGATTTAGCAGAAATTTGCTCACACCCTAAGCAAGCCAGGGAAGCAACAGAAGATTCAAGCCAAGAACCCTGATGGAATATTGGTTTGCACTAGTGTGGGTAGTTTCATCTCAAGGGTAATAAACTATTTTCACTTGGGTCAAGAAGACTCAAGAAGCACTATTCTGTCTGAGACTATCTTGTGATTTCCACCCACTGAAAAATACAGCCCAAAGCTGTCTCTGTAGTCAGCTCTCTCCCTGGGAGATTTGCCATTAGTCCAAGAGATACCAACAGCACTCCCCACCAGGGATCATTTGAGAAGAGTCTCAGGCTTTTGAGCCTTTGCTCCTTTTTCAGATGGCAGGTCATATGTTTCATGCTGTTTGTCATTAGTACAAATGGATAACATGTTATTCCTTAATACAGTAGCCCAACTAACTTCATGTTCTTGCATCTTGATTAATGGTTTTAGCCTGGCATCAAAGTGGTTCCCAGTGGACTGGAAGTACTGGCACCAGCTGATTCCCAGTCCTGTAATTAGCCAGTAAAGTGACACTCAGGAAAGTTCCATCTATTTGTGCCCCAGTTTACTAATCTGTAAACCAGTTACTTCCATAGGGAAGCATTTTGCAACTAACATGTGAAAAGTGCAGTGTAGGAAGGTTAGGTTTTCTTAATACAGAGAGGTCTGGAGAAGAGATTGTTCAGGTTTAGCCAAGAGGACAAATTGATTAGCAATAGACTGAGAGCAGAGGAAAGTAAAAAGAAATAATCTCATCACTGATTTCTGCCTTGTAACATGCTGCTTGTCTGAGACTGCCATTAATTTTCCTTATAGCTAGAAAAACTACTGTTCCCACCTGATGTCAACAACACAGGGCAGTTTTGGTATCATTAGAGACTCATAAGACTTGTTGAAAACCCCCAAAACCGACGACAGGCTTTTATTTGGAGATCTGACCAATTAAAATTCGTATTAACTGAATTCCATTTCTTGCCAAAGGAAAAGAACCACTCTGGTTATTTGCTGTTGTCAGATCTTACATGTGAGAGATCTGGCCCTCCTGAAACACAGCAGGTGCAAACAGGCCAGAGTCAGACACAGCTTTTTAACTAGAATCTTCTTCTTAGGGATATATTTGGTGAGGCCTGGTGTCTTCAGATTAGCATATGGGGGGAAAAAACCCCACTCAAATGTATCCCAACAGGGGTGCTCTGATCCCACATAAGGGAATTGTTCCCTTGAGAACATACCTTACTCACCGTATGCAGGCTGCCGGTGACCTGCTTCCCAAGGGGCTTGTGCTCTGACGAAATACTCATCTTCCCCAGGAGCTGAGGACTCAGCTATTTGGGAAAACCTGCTGCTCAGTGCTAGTGTCCTACTGCACACGCAGGATGGCTCCCGGCTGTGCTCCAGCCCTCTCTCACTTGATCTGTCTTTATTGGGTCAGCTTTCCCATGCTCCCAGCCCAGCTGCTGGTGCGGAGGCTCCAGTTTGTCCCAGGCAGAGTCCTGGTTCTAGCTGCAGGTGTAGGGAGAGGGGAGGGCACAGCCTGAAAGCGGAAGTATTTGCTCATTAGTTTTCTGGCAACCAGCAAGGTGCAGGGTGGACTCGGGCTGGCTGCCAGCACACACCTCGTGCCTGGCTGTCTGAGTGGTGACTAAGGGCTCAATAATCCCTTCAAGGGAGGCCCAGTGCCCAGGGCACCTCTGAAGAGCCCCGTGAGGTGTGCCTGTGTGCCCACCTCTGCCTTGACAACTACTTGTATCAAAACCAGCAAATATTTTCACAACTTTTTGGCCTCTGTACACTGTTGCTTTAAAGCACAGTTTGTCCCAAACAATTTCATTGATCCTATTTGTCACTCACACTGATGATAGGTCTGCAGGACGTCTACAACCTGTCCGTGGTGGTGGCATTTTCTTCCTCACCCATACAATCTCTGGGCACTGAATAACTTGTGCAAGGTAAATAAAACCAAACCCGAATCTCTGCTTGAGCATGAACTCTTCTTTTCAACTGGCCATAAATATTTGATTATTATCTTTGCATGACATTGTTTTCTAATATCCTGTATCCACCAAATATAGAATGTGGACAGCACCACAGGTTTAGTGGTTGTAAGACTATCACAAAATCAAAACACAAGGATGCAGTGAAGGTGAACTTGAAAGTGCTTAAAGGGGGGCTTATAAAAAAGGGAGAGTGAATTTTTGCCAGAGCACATTGTGACGGCACAAGGAGGAACAGCTTAAATATAAAAGAGGAGAGATTTAGATTAGATGTAAGGAAGAAATTCTTTACTGTGAGAGTGATGAAACACTGGCACAGGTTGAGAAAGCTGTGGATGTCCCGTTCGGAAGTGTTCAAGGTCTGGTTTGATGGGACTTTGAGCAACCTGGTCTAGTGGAAGGTGTCCCTCCTCATGAAGGAGGGGAGTTTACAACTAGGTAATCTTTGAGGTTCCTTCCCAGTCCAAACCATTCTGTGATTCTATGATGATTGTCTGTGTTAATTTATTAAATGCAGAGTATTGCATCAGAGCTAGCCTAAATAACCTCTCCAGAACAAAACCACAGTCCTGCAGGGTCTCCTTTATTTCATTCTAGGTGATTCAAAGTGCATTGTTGCTTTCAAATCTGTCCACAGGCCACTCATCACTTACGTGTCTTTGTTTCATTACGGTGGCAAAACTGCCATGGGCATGATTGTCCAAAGATGTAACTTAATGTTTGCAATGAGAGACAATATCTTTTATTAGATCAGCTGATAGAGATGGATAAAACTATCCATGTTTTAGGGCACACAAGGCATTCCCATGTCTGTCAGATTCTCCTTCAGCTTGCTTGGGTTTTTTTTTCCCTCTTTTTTTTTCCAGTTTCTCTTGGTCTAATAAAAGATGTTATCCCTTCTACCAACCTTGCCTCACTCTCTTTTGTTTCAAGCTGCTTCTCTGTACCAGCAACCAAAGAAAAAAACTCAGACAAATACAGCACTTCCTAAAAATCTCCCTGGGGGAAGATATTAACGATAAAAATTGACAGCACAGTATATAAGGAAATAATTTGCACAAAATCTGCATTGTGCTCATGGATACCAGCTTTGTTGCTTTTGAATACTCCAGGGCTTTTGCTGAATCTTTATCCTCTCAGAAGACAGCATTGATCTGAGCAGGAGCTTGATGCGCAGAGGGAAAAACAGTTAGAACTTAGACTGATTCACTTCCCTTGAAGCCTGTCCTTATGAAAGCCTCCATCAAAGCTGGGCCCAGACTCTTGAATGCTGTGTGCATTTGGGTAAACCTGTCATTGAACTCATCTTACATTTTGCTTCTGGTTCTCTGAAGCATCCTCAGGGATCCTCAATGATAACCTCTGTCTGAGTTATCTCTTCTGCTTTTAATAGAAATGTTTGAATTTTCCCTTCGCCAAACTAGCAGAATTGGTAGTGCTGGATGTACCAGTGAGGTCTGCTTGGGATCCCAGGTTTTGTGACTTGTAATAAATTTTAAAAGATTAATGCTTACTAGAAAACAGGGAGACCTGGAAGATCTGCATGTTCCAGACCTCTAAGTGCTGCAAATCCCATTCTTTGGGCTGGCTTATGTAGGTGTTTCAGATAATATCTTGGATATAGCTGACAGAGTTCACATCCACCATGTCTTTGATGCTGGTGGTGATAGCTTTTCCTTCTGCAGCTGCAGAACTGGAATGATGGATGGACTATCACCTCTCTGCTCACACAATCTTTGCACTAGGGCAGGGTGAAGGGCAGTAGATAAGTTTACCTTGCTCATCTGAGAGACTGAGGCCAAACCTTCACTGCCACGACAGAAATCCTTACCACTTTAGCAAAAGGAATGGTTCCCAGCTCATGTCCACAACTCTTCTACTGCTACATCAGCCATGGCTGGTCCTTCAGTGTGATGCACATGCTGGTCTGGTTCCTCTGCCTACAGTTTTTATTTGATGTAAAAGGGATATTTCCAAGCCTGTAAGCTCTTTCAGGCAGGGACCATCGTTTCCCTGTTTATTTATGAAAGAATTAGCCTGTGCATGGACCTTGGATGAGCAACCACAATATGAATAATAAGAATTATCATATGAGTGCTTATAAATGTTTAGTTGGTTTACTAAAGAAGAATAATTGACAGTGACTTTGTGGGGCATAAATATGTGGTTTTTTGAAAATTGTATGAATATGCATATAGCAGTGAGCTGCAACATCTCTGTTCTGGTACATACATTTACTCAGAGTGATGAGGCATTGACACAGGTTGTCCAGAGAAGTTATGGCTGTCCCACCCCTGGATGTGTTCAAGGTTAGGCTGGATGGGGCCCCGATTAAACTGATCCAGTAGGTGCATCCCTGCCCATGGCAGGGGGTTTTGGAGCTAGGAGTTCTTTAAGGTCCCTTCCAACCTAAACCACTCCATGATTCTGTGACTGTGCATCGGTTTGGAAAATAGTACTACCCATAAAAGTATTTTTAAAATATTTATTTCCTATTTCAATATATTGAATTGGCAGCCTCTGTTAAAGAGACTCAGCAATTCAAGAACCACTCCTAAATCAAACACCATGTGCTGTGCAAACACTGTCAAGCATTCCTAACTGGTGCCTTCCAGCCATTTATCAGCTCCACCCACCTTCTCAGGATGCATGGCTGAAGGCTTGTATCTGAGATCTGAGCTGCCACAGTACATTCCACTGTTAAACAGCACAATATTTTTTCTCTTTTATTTTCTGTGCAATTAAAGTTTCACTAAAATAAAAGCAAGGCAGGAAGTTCCTGCTCTTGTCTTCCTTTCACCGTGTTGTGGATCTTCAATTGCTGCTGAGCAATCAGGACCCCACTAAAGGGGTCCAAATGAATGTGTGAGCAAGGCATGGAGCTGCCTGGAGGTGAATGGAGGAAATAGGGATATCATCTGCAGAACATCTGTTCATTTTATGTGGAGGCTTTTAGAGCTGATGAGTCTCTGATTTTAATCTGAAGGATGGTATTTCACTTTTGCAGTGCAGCAGATTGAGAAAGCACCTGTAGCAAAATGAACACAACCAGAGCCTGCAGCACAGGGCATGGTGACAATCCTCCTCTCACCACAGATGCTCAGAGACCTCCAGTTTTATAATCAAAAGTGGAAATTGGATGGAGAATCAGTTTGTTCAGCCAAAGGAGCACTATTTCAACAGCTAAGTTTTTTTAAAATGTCCTGAACAGGGAAGGGGACACCTCCCTCTTGTAAGCAGCTCAGTAGGACTTCCCAAGGGTGGTGTGCCTGGGAGGGAATGAGTCACTTGGAAGTGGGACCCAACCTGTCCTGAAGGCTCCAACCTGCCTGTCAAGAGCTTACAGCTCCTGCCCACCCACCCAGTGAGGGCTTTGCCTCTGGTCTCCCCACAGCTTGCAGAGGTGAGCAAGGTCCTATCTTCCTACCCCAGCTGAGCTTCCCCACCTCCTCCTCTGTTCCCAGCTCTGGAGTGTGTCATGGCCAAGCAGGGAGTAGCAGAACCACCCCCCTGTTTTGCTGGGGCTTGTGAGGATTCCAACAGGTTGTTCACAGGAGAGGACGCGGTGCTGGGTATGGAGGGCTGGATGAGTGTAGAACAAGGGATGGATGTGAAAGTACTGATGTTGGGTGCTGAAAAGCTGGGAATCCAGAATAGAAGGAGATGTTGCGGGAGGGAAGGAAGGATGCTGAGGAGCAGGCTGGGATCCAGCACCAAGCACAGAATGGTGGAAGGATTACACTGGGGTTTTGCAAGGTGGGAGAGACAGAGAGCTGGGGGAACATTAATCTCAAAGCCCTGGCAAAGAAACCCAGCTCATCTCCTTGCACTGAAGCCTGGCCTTGGTGGCCAAGGTCCTTCACCCTCATGTGCTAGGGGACAGTAGTACTGCAGAAGTGACAGCTGGTAGGAAACACAGGACACACCTGCACAAGGCTTTGCATTTCATTTACATTACCAAAGAGAACGGTTTGGAGGTGTTTAGGCACACACAGAAAAAAGCATCGCTTCAAAGTTACAGACACCTTCTACAAAGCAACTACACAAACCACTCGTCTCTGCCCCGCAGAAATCCCCCTAGGACAGGAGTGAAACGAAGCAGGAAGCTTGCCGGCAGCATCAGCCACAGGACGAGTCAGATGGTACAGGCAGCACCCAGCAGGCAGACAGTCAAGCTCTGCGCTGCTCAAGAAGGACACTCCTCAGTGGAACTTGGTGCAGGAGAAGTGCCACTGGACTTGGACAACAGATGCTGTGGGGATGACATACATGGTCAGGATGTCCTCACTTCTGTCTGAGCATCTTCCTAAATAAGGGTAAAGTCCTGTTAATGCCCTCTGTTGCTGCTATCATTTTTTATCCCCGACATTTCACTACAAGGACGTTGACTGTGAACCCCATCTCTGATGGTTCATGGGGAAGTCTCCTCAAGGGGCCTCAGGGATCAAAGTCCCACCAGGATGGAGAATGGGCTTGCTT